CAAGATTGAGATTGTTAATGAATCATGGAATTCCTGAAGATATTCACTGGTTGATTGAAGCAAAGGTTCGATTATTAGGTGAGTCCTCTAATTCCTTCATTTCACACATGCTTGGAATAGGTAAAAGGAATTTTATGAAGAAACATCATGCAAAATGATTGAATGTATGCCATCGATGTGCCAGATGGACTTGCAATGCATAATGTTATTCTTTAAGAATGGTAACTATAAACCATGAAGATAAAATACTATTCATTAAAGATGGCCTTAGTAAGGGGTTTTTAGATAATCTTCTATTGACTCTTAAGACGCATCCTAGTGAAGATGTGCATAGTGCAATTCATGATTTATGGTCACTATTCCATAAAGAACATGCTCAACATAGTCTTGAGAATTTGACTAAAAAGGACCTTGTTTGCCGATTTTTAAGAAAAATATATGGGAAGTGATTAGTACTTAAAAGTACATTTTTATCAAGGTTTTAGTCATTATTTTTGCACTTGAAATATCAAACTCCTTAACTAAAGCATATTTTATAATAATATATCTAATACTATAAGATACCTTTAATTTAAGATAAATATTTATTTTAAATGCAGGCCTATCATATAAATGAAAGGATTGATTGATGAATTTAAGAACTGAAATTAAAAGGACAAAGAGATGACCAAACTTAGAAAAAAAATGCTGGTGTAGTTCAAACCGGAACACTGTTCGGTAAATAAGTCATATCTAGAGTTATAGATCTCGGATTTAGGTCTATTTTATATGGATGGAAATGTAAGATATAGGCCTACAACTTTCATATAGAGCCTAAGATTTAAAAAGGTCATTTTCAAGTCTAAATTGTAGCAACAACAAAGAAGTTCAAATCCATCCTCCAACCCGAGCACTGTTTAGTATTTTGCCCATATCTAGAGTTCTAGAAGTACAAATAACCTTAATGTTTTACACAAGAAAGCTGAGATAATTTCCTATAACTTTCATGTTTTCAAGTGGTTCCAATTTTGATGTTATTAATGACGTTTTGGGCAGACAATAGAAGATAAGGATTGTCACCAAGTCAAGAGTTGACCATCTACTCATCAATTAGTTATCAAATCAATAGTTCCCAATTTTGGCCTATAAAAAGAGGCATTTGCCATGCATTTAGGCATCTTAGTTTCCATATCAAGATCATGTTATTGCTGTCTCTCTTTATATTTTTGTATTTCTTATGTTTTGCTTTCATTAATATCAAATTTATACCTTTCATTTCCTTTCCTTTACTTAGTTAACTTTTATTTTATTTATGTTCTTATTTTGTTTATTTATTTTTCTTTCTTCCATTATGTTTAGTTAAGTTTATTATGTTAAGGTGAAAAGGTTACACTAATGGTGTAAGAATAAGTATAATGTAAACTTAATATGGACTTTAATGTTTGATACTAACATGTTTTATATTTGTTATCTTGTTCACTTTTAATACTTTGCTTATTAAATGACTAATCTAAATTTGTGTTGTATAATACTTGGTATAACATATACTTGGTTATGAAAGAAACTTGATTTGTTATTAACATAAGTTATAATTATGAATGAATGACTGACAACATTTACAAGTATTAACATTATTCAAATAAGATAATTAATGTAATTATGTTAATGATTTATAATCTGATTGGAACCTCCTTTGTGTGTGGTTTTCTATTGAATAATAAGAGTTTATACTATACTTGTTTGACATAACATTACTGGATCCTCTAAACTTGACATATGTTGTTATCATTATTTAATTCTTACATTAATCTTTCATCTCAAAGTTCTCATCAACTTTTTCTTCTTTCTTTTTCTTTTATTATTATTATTATTATTATTATTATACTTAGTAATATTATTAGTATTATTATTACTATTATTGTTGTTTATAATTTATACAATTAACCTCCTTATGGTTCAACCCCGGTCATGCCGAGTTATTTATTACATCGACACTCATGCATTTGGGACAATACATTAATCTTTTGGTCGTGTCATAATCCTATCACAAATGTCATTAGTCGAAGCTAATCTTGTAATTCACCTTCTAACAATTCTATCACGAATATCATTAGCTTCATTTCCCAACAATTCTATCACAGATGCCATTAGCCGAAACTAATTTTGTAATTTATTTCCCGCAATCCTACCATGAATGCCATTAGCAGAAGCTAATCTTGTAAATATGCTAGACTTTATTTATATTGAACACAATATTTATTATAATTGCATTCACCAGAAGAATTTTAAATTGTATAAGTGTAAAAAAAAAGGAAAATCATACACCTGCTCCGCTTGTCTCGTGACTTTCCCTAACAGAAGATCCAATCCTAGTTGCTCCTCCTGAATTATAAGAAAGTTTTTGGTTATGATTCCTTCGAGTCGATTTTATAGAGAATCCATATCCCTTTATTACTCATAAGTTACTTTATATGCATGTTCATTTCCTTATAATAACAGACATACATATATCATGTATATTTTCAAAGTTAGTATCCCAATGTGCAAGTGTTCGTATGACTCAATTCTTTTATATTCCTACATATACTATTCACGTGAAAGTCTACTGTTACTGTTTAACTTTGAATTGTTATTGTTCAATGGTTGCTGTTTGAACTGTTATGTCTAACGATTGTTGTTTGAACAGTTATTATCCAACTGTTGGTATTTGAATAGTTGTTATCCAACTGTTGCTGTTTGAACAATTGCTATTTGAACAGTTGTTATCTAACAGTTGTTGTTTGGACAGTTACTGTCCAATGGTTATTGTCTGAACACTCATCAGATTTTTAACGATATCTAGAGTTCTACAACTCTATTTTAAGTAAGATTGATCTTGTTGGAAGTTAACATACGAGGTTACAAGTTCTCTAAAGGAAAGAGAACCTAATTCTACCTCCAACATGGTCAAAATTACTCATCAACCTATCAGTCCTACTACCCTACATAATTAGTCATGACTCAGTCTCGGTTGGTAACCTATAACTGGAGTTCTACATCTCCAAATTGAGTAAGACCAGTTTTCTTGGTTAGTTAACATCCAAATATACAATTTCTATGAAGGAACCTAATCCTAATTTCTTTATCCTCTTACCCGAAATCTCATCGAAAGTCAGGAGATAAGTCTGTCAAGATTCGTCTCCCCCTTCCCTTCACACAATACTTTCATAAATTACATAACACATATGAATTACCTTAATTTTAACAATAAATACTTTTTCTCCAATTCATATCTAAGAATCCTAACCTATAATTCAATATCTAGACATCAATTTATTATCGAATTTGAAATGAATTTTTAAGATCATTTTTAGAACACCTTACTTGGTACGAATTAAGATTTTGATCTTCAACTAGTTGAAGATTTTCAACTCCCTCCTTTCTTTTCTTCTTGTTTAGTTTCTTATTAATCCCTTATTCACAAGTGTTTATTTCATCTATAAATCCTTAATCTTGGATAAGTTCTTGAATTTTTAGTGTTTTTCTCTTTTGATTTCTCAAGAATGGGTATAAAATTCTCTATTTTCTCTCCTTATCGTTATTGTAGATTTTTGGTGAGAAGAGAATATTTATACTCTATAATTTTTCTTATTAGCATTTAGACTCCATTTTTTTTAAGTGTTTTATTCTCTTTAATTAAATCCAACCCTTTACATTACCTACTTATTATAATGTATCAAATTATTTTGCCTAAAAATTATATTAAAAAATTTCTAAATTCTTTTTTTTATTCAACCATACACATCAATTTTCTTTATGTACTTAGTTTTTAATTTAAACAACCTTTATTTATTTATTTCTGAGATTTACATTTTTAGTATCTTAAATAGATCTTGTTGAACTTACAAATCACATATCTTAATATATTATAAATTGAAATCATTTTTATCATTAAATATCTTCATATGAAATATACGGAATCCATAGTGTTTTGTTCCTATATAAACAATGTCATGGTTAAATGAAAAACCCATAACTTTTCTTTCATAATATAATATAATATAATAATAAATTCACCGATTAATTAATTCATCAGGGAAATTTCCCAAAGTTGTCACCAAGTGGTACGTGGAATGTTGCTTTCGATCAAAGGAGCCTCGTAGGATTTATCCTTGTCTTTTTTTCCACCAACACAGTTAGAGCATCTTCCCAACAATATTAGTTAGGGCATCTCGGAAGATACTATCTTAAAAAATCAAATTGATAATATAAATTTTTAAATAGTATAAATATAAAAACATTATTTAAAAAATCAATTATATTTTAATATATTTATTATACAATTATTTTAATAACCTAATACAATTAAAGTGATTTAATTGGTTTAAGTTACAACTAAAAAAATATTAAAAAATAAAATAAAAAAAATAAAAAATCACTCAAACTAGATAAATCAAACTTATAATAGAAATCATGATATTAAAATAATTTTATATAAAATAAAAAAATAAATTAAAAAAATCATAGTAAAAAAAAGTGAAAAATAAAAATACTATATAAGAATTTAATATTTTTAAATTTTTAAAAAATACATAAAAATAATATTTTAATATTTTATTGATTCCGATCCCCTCAAAAGCGAATGAAGACGACCACAGGAGACCAAAATAATTAAACACCATAATGATTGGGGCGGCCAGAATAGGACTTAGAGGAAGACTAGCAACATTCCTCGTTTCTAACAACTCTCCACTACCTCGAATTAACAGGAGTCTCTCCTACCCTAATAACAAGAGCAAAAGGCATTTCCTCTGCAAATCTCCCTTGACATCATCATCTCTGATGGACACCTTAGGTGGTGTTTTCGTTTCTGCAGCTGGGGTTTCTACCTTGCCATTTGATAATGGAGGAAACACCAATGTTTTTTCCTTGTCTCCTTGTCTTCTCAAAATTAACAAAGGAGACATCACCAAGTGGTCTGTTGATGGCTCCTCTGATGCTATTGTAAGCTGCAAACCCTTCATTTTTATTTCCTGGGTTTTGTTCTTTCTTGATTCGTTTTAGCTTGATGCTACGAGTGTTGTTATCTTAATATTTTCATGCTACGAAAATTCATGATTGTTTGTTTTACATGTGAAAATGGGGTTTCCTAAAATTTTATAATTATTTTGTCTTCGGCACTAACCAATTAGTGTAACCGCACCAGTTGATAGGGACTTCTTGCAAGTCAATTTGATTTGATTTTATTCTTTTTTTTTTGTTATATTTTTGTGCTAAAAACAGGCCAGAGCCAATTTAGAACCATTACCATGCCTTCTGAGTTCTAATTTCACTAGCTATGAAAAAAATGGGGGGAGTTTCCATAGATTCCTATACCTGAGTCAGTTTGGTGATGAGTTTAATTTTTCCTTCATGGGTTTATTGAAGCCACATGTACTTCATAATGTACTAATCCATTTCCATGGGTGTATAATGCAAGTTCTTATATATAGTATAACCCCCCCCCCCCCCCCCCACGCTTTATATTTGATTGCATGCATTTATATTAAATTCAATTATCATCTTCTGCAGGTTAATCCAGCAAACGAAAGAATGCTTGGAGGTGGGGGTGCAGATGGAGGTATTCTTATTTAATCTTTGTTTCCTTTTCAATCTACTCTAAAACTCATTTGTAATATTTCTGACAAAGCTTGTAACAATTTGGAATTCCAATTCATTCTGTCAGCCATTCATAGAGCTGCTGGACCGCAACTACGAGATGCATGCTATACAGTCCCTGAAGTCCGACCTGGAGTTCGATGCCCCACTGGAGAAGCAAGAATTACTCCGTATAATCATCTTGCTTGACTTTTTTTTCTTGTTATGATGGAGTTTGTTTTTCCATCCTTGAACATATTTATCATTATATTATTGACATGTTGAATATATGCAGAGGTTTCAATCTGCCTGTATTTCACGTGATTCACACTGTTGGCCCCATCTATGATGTTGATGGTAACCCTAAAGCCTCACTTAGGAATGCATACAGGTATATCATAACCTTAATAGTATCAGTTCTCATTAGTTTAATTTATCATTCTAAACAACATCTCTTGTTTGCCTACAATGGTTTCAGGAACAGCTTGATTTTGGCTAAAGACAACAACATTAAGTACATTGCATTTCCTGCCATATCTTGTGGTGTTTATGGGTAAGTAGCTGGTGACCAAAGGGAATCACCTGGGCTTTTTACTGCCGGAAATTTTATTTACATAGATTTGCATGGTCAAGGGTAAAACCCTAATTGCAATTGTACAATTTTCTTGTCAATAGATGGAAAACTTTACTTTTTCATGGTTTAAGCTCTTGATTTTTATGCCTGAGTTAGGATGATTTGGTTGGGAAATGAATTTTCATATTGATTGCTTGTTTTGTGACAATGGCCTTCCAAAGGGCCGAATCTCAAGCTTTTGAGTACTGGATTGAATACCACATTCTGAAATTTTCACGGTTTAGTGTTTGTGAAAAACACGTGACAGTATCATCAATCTCACAATTTTTCTTCTCTTAATTTTTATTTTGTTTCAGTTATCCTTATGAGGAAGCTGCTGAAGTGGCTATATCAACTGTTAAAGAATTTGCTGATGACTTGAAAGAGGTATTTATTATGTTATTCTCACAAACATCATCATATGGGAATCCAATATCACTCCAACTTGCAAATTGGATCTGGCTTTTTTACATTGTTTGATTATCTGACCATTGCAGAATTTCCTTAAGAAAATTGTTACTGTTATGATCTGGAATAAACACTATATAGAATCCTAGGATAGAACAAAACTATAGATTGCCATTATATCTCTATGGAACTCCTCTGCTAATGTTGTTGGTTCCTCGCATGCATTCTGTGCATAGAATCACCTTTAATATTCTTGTTGGGATATTCTAGAAAAAAAACAAAAGCATTTGAGGTGGGATTATTCATATCAATCACTCCCAAGTAACTAAAGAAGATTAAGCTTCTATGAATTTGTTGTGCTTATCACTGCACTTGTTAATTCAACATTTTAACACCATCATATAGAAATGAAAATCGCCATCTCATCAACACTTGTCCAGTGGATGCAGTCGCTTGCAAGTATCAATAAAAAATCTGAGTTTTGATACTAATTTATCATGTCTTCCCTGGATGTTTCTGTGCTTTGATAGCAGAAACGTACCTATAATATATGGACCAATTATTGTAGCCTTGAAATCTTATTGGTTCTGTTTTAAATTGCTCTTTGTAGGTGCATTTTGTTCTGTTCTCGGATGAAATTTACAATGCTTGGTTGGAGAAGGCAAAAGAGCTGGTCAAGGCTTAGTTTGTACTGAAGCTGGATTTGAGGATGCAGAAGGTAATGGTTTGCGTTGATGTTATAAGCCAATGCATATGGATATTTTGTGGATTGTCTTATATACCGTGACCTTGTATGAGATTAGATGAATGCTGGCCGCCATAGTGAATTTATATGCAAGCTATACTGTGTGGAAACTCTTGAAGCTGTTTTGGAATTTTAGATCTGGAACCCCTCTGCTAGGTCTTATGCGAATGTATTCGACTCTTGTCAGCTAATTAAGCTCTGGCTCAGCCTTTGTTCTAAGGTTCCTCTGTACATTTAATCAAGGTTAACAAATCAAGTGGCATGCACTTAACCGCTATGGATGTCTTTAGAATTGACGACAGAAGATAACCTGACTGACTGAGCTTCAAAACTTCATCTATTCATTGCTATGAAAACTAGAACTCCTCATGGTTTTACTGTTCACCATTTTATTGTTTATCATATTCACGAATCACGGTGGATTTAAACAGTGTAATGATAAGACAATTATTGCCAAAGAAACTTGCTGAGCATGCAGTTAGGGGCTTATCCGTCCTTTTATTTTATTTGAAACAGTTCAAATATATGCTAAAGCATTTGGATTAGTGCAATGGTTGGAGCGTGTTGGGCATGTGCTAGCGGGTGGGTGCCGCCTGTGTTATTTGGTGGCTCGTGCAGCCCCAGAACAAAACTGAGAATTGTCTTGCGGGGGCGTCTTTTGATGCGCCTCGCTACCTAGACATAATGGCAAGGCGCTAGTGCTGAAGAGGCCCACAGAGGAGCTTTGAGAGGGGTTTTTCCTTCCCTTTCTCTTTGCCCTCTCTCCTCCTAGAAAATCATACTGCCCATTAAAAAAAAAAAAAAAAGGGCCATGCATGATTCCAGTCTAAAAAAATGAGTCAAGCACTAGCTTTGGCATAACCATTGGATCAATGCTCATGGTTATGGCGTGGCCGTCAAATTTAAGGGTAATTTAAATATTTGTTTTTATAAAAAAATAAAAATATATATAAAAAATAATTAGCATTTTTTGTTTAAAATATTTTAAATATAGTTTAAATGTTTTTTAATAAAAAAAATAAAAATAATTATAAGAAAAATTCATTAGCATTTCTATTTAAGATACTTTAAGGATAGTTTGAATGTTTATTGTTATAAAAAAAATAAAAAAACTACATAAAGATATTTATTTAGGATACTTCAAGCATAATTTTAATTTTTTTTATAGGAAAAATAAAAAAATTATAAAAAAAATAAGTAATATTTTTGTTTAGGATAATTAAGGTAGTTTAAATGTTTTTTTATAAAAAACTTTTGGTCACCATTCCCAATGCTTTTAGATGTAATATAACCGTCAGGTCAAAAAGCCTATATAAAATAATTTTTTTAATATTAATTAGAATTTTTGTTTAGGATATTTTAAATATTTTTTTAAATTAAAAAAATTTATAAATAAAAATAATTAGAATTTCTGTTTAGTATATTTTAAGGATAAATAATTTTTTTCTTATAAAAAATAGAAAACATTTATAAAATTTTTTATTTAAGATATTTCAAGAGTAGTTTAAATGTTTGTTTTTTTTATAAAAAATAAAAAAATTATAAAAAAATAATTAGTATTTCCGTTTAGTATACTTCAAAAGTAGGTTAAATATTTTTTTTAAATGAAAAAACATTATTAAAAAAATTATTTATGATACTTCAAAGGTAGTTTAAATATTTTTTTTATAATAATAAAAATTATAAAAAATTAATTGGAATTTCTATTTTGGATATTTTAAGAGTAGTTTAAATGCTTTTTTATAAAAATAAAAACATTTTGTATAAAAATTATTTAGGATACTTCAATGATAGTTTTAATTTTTTTTTATAGAAAAAATAAAAAATTGTTTAGCATTTCTATTTATGATGTTTCAAGGGTAGTTTAATTGTTTTTTTATAAAGATAAATAAAAATAAAAATGAATTAGGATTTATGTTTCTTCATGGATAGGTTTAATGTTATTTTTTATAGATAAAAAAATACAATTATAAAAAAAATTAGGTAGAATTTCTATTTATCGTACTTCAAGGGTAATTTAAATATTTTTTTAGAAAAACTAAAATAAAATTTATAAAAAACATTAATTAAGTATGGTCGATAGACCCACTATACCCAATGCTCTAGGGTATGCTTGGCCGCTAAACCCAAGTCTTTCGAGTGTAGCTTGGCTATCAGATTTAAGTCTCTTGGGTCTGGTATGATCACCAAATTTAAAGTCTTGTTTATTTGCTGGAAAGTAGTTTCGTTTTGGAAAGTGAATTTTAGAAAAGTAAATTATTTTTTGATATTTGGTAGTGTCATGAAAAAAAAAATGAAAAATACTTTCTAGTATTTGGTTATGTCATGAAAAATAAGTTAGAAAATAAATTTTTAATATTTTATTTTTTAAAAAATTATCTAACATATATATAATATTTAATATAAATATTTAATCACTTATAATAAAAGAATGAGATTTTAAAAGTATAATGATGATTTTTTTTATTATATCATATATTTTTATATAGCGTATTTTATTAAATATAACTATATATGTAATATAAATTTTTGAAATATAATATTATAGATATATTTTAAATATAACCTTGTGAAATATTTCTTAATTAAAACCTATTAATATATTTTTTATTTGTAAACGCTCAAAATAAATTTTGGCGGTATTAAAAAAGCCAAATTAGTTAATGGTATTAAGTAAGACTTAGATATTTGGTGTTTTTTGGTATGAATATTTTTTTTTTAAAAAAAGGGGTATGAACAATTATCCTTTTAATATATATCAATTAAATATTAGGAAAAAAAAGGGGTATGAACAATTATCCCTTTAATATATATCAATTAAATATTAGGAAATAAATATACTCATCTTTCATCAAATATTGTCATGCCTCAATATTAAGTTTTGATGTTATACACATGCATATTAGTTTAAATTAACAACCATAAACATACTAGACCAAATAAAACAGGTAAACATACTTGTCAAATAACAAATATAGATTTTCTTGTCATAGTAAAATCATCTTAACAATCAGGCTTATAGTAATGTTGGTTCACAAACTTTTGAACACAAATTTTCCTCAAATTAATATTTTTTTTTGCCATAAATGCTTTTGACAATATTTCATTTTAAATCAAGTGATCAAAAGCGTCATCAAGAGCGATCTCCTCAAAACCTTCAATTTTCATCACATTTGTATATAGCTCATTAATATCAAATTGATTTTTGCTTAGGCTTTGAATTAGAAATGTTACATATCCAATCTTTTTAGACAACTTTTCAACACGATCATCTTCATACATTCGCTTTCTCTTTTTATATTATCTCTTTTGTACACTAGAGGAAGATGTCTTTTTACCTTTTGGAGTTTCTTCATATTTCCCTTCATTTTCAATTAAAATAGATTGCACTTCAGTGTTCTCTTCTAGGTTAATATTAGCATATGATTTGATATAATTTCCGGTTGCCATGTCTTTTCCAACAACAATTGTCATTGTTTCACACACACACACACACACACACACATATATATAAGTTTTTTTTGTAGAGATACTTATCATGATTGAAATGTGCCTATTCATAAAGATTATAATATATAATTTTCAGTTCCTTGTATAAAGTTTTGGGAACAAAAGTAAATATAAAAATTACATAGAATATACTATTTATTATATCTTTACTTCTTTATCATATACATCTTTCAAAACCATAATTATCTTTAAACAAACATTCCAACAAAAACCACTTTTATTTCATTCTTTTCTCACAGTTTTGAGATGATTGTCTATATACTTAGGTTCATGATTAGTACTTAAAAGTGCATTTTTATCATGGTTTTATATCATCATTTTGCACGTGAAGTATCAATAACTCCTTAACCAAAGCATGTTTTATAATAATATATCTAATAATATAAGATACATTTAATTTGTGGTAAATGTCTATTTTTAATGCAGGCCTATAACATAAATGAAAGGATTGATTGATGACTTGAAGAACTTAAATTGCAAGGATAAAGAGATGGCCAAATGGTACTTATTTCTACAAAAAAAAAAAATCACAAATTTATACAAAATAAGTGGTACTTATTTCTACAAAAAAAAATCACAAATTTATACAAAATAAAATTATACAATATTTAGATTGAACTAATTTTATACAAAAAAATACAACTAATATTAAAAGAAAAACACATGAAATACATAAGAAATTATAATAAAATCAACAAACAATTCAAATTTATAACAAAGACAAACAAACTCAAGAAAGATATAATAAAAACAAACACATATAATGAACACTCAATTACTAGTTTCTTTGATTGTTATAATCATTCCTCATGGTTGATGCAATCATTTTTCTTTTTGTTATCCACTCCATATTTTGTTCCCTCTCCTTCCTTGGCTTAAGCTAATTGTTTTTCTAATTGGTTTAGTTTTCGAACATGTTTCTTCCATAAAAAAGTCATAAGGATCAACCCATTATGTGATTATAAATAGTACAATATGAAGCACAATATTCACTTATGTTTCATAAGACTAAAAAGGTTTTTCATCAATTGATCTAAAACGACTTTTCAAAATGTCAAACCCTTGCTCAATAATAGTTCATAATAAAGATTATCAAAGATTAAATAACTCCTTTTTATTTTCTAGTAAAAATTTATGTAAACTGATTCAAGTGGTATCAAACTCTATGAAAAGAAGAAATGATTGCTTTTTGAATGCCATAACCAGTATCATCAAGATAATATTTCCCTATAAATAAAAATAAAACCTATTATTATCTTTATTTAATTAAACAATTTATATGTTTATTGCATATTATAAATATTTAATTTATACTGTTTGAAATTTTTATACCATTAGATCTTGATAGTGCATCATCTAAAACTTATAAATCATGTGCACTTCCTTCCCATCCAGCTAAAACATATATAAATTTCAAATCAAAAGTTATAGCTGCTAAAACATTTCATGTTATTTCCTCTTTTTAACCTCAAAACTTTCTTTGAATTTCAACATGAACATTTACAGGAATATGGGTACCATCAAATTCTCCTACACAATCCTATATAAACATGAAAATATAATTTATAATCTTTTCTTCTAAATGTAATTAATTAATGTGTAAAAATATTGGTATTGTTCTCATATCTTAAAATAAGGATAAAATTTACGGTTATTCATTATCTCCACGGGAATTGTATCCCCTAGGTCTTTGATAAGATGTTTGTATAACTTAAGAATTGCT